AGTATTTGGTGTAGCAGCAGCTCACATCTGTCTCTTTAATCTTGATCTGTAAAATGAGACATCTGCCCCCATAGCATACTCTAGAGCAGCAGTCCCCAACCTTTTTGGCACCAGGGACTGGTTTCATGGAAGACAGTTTTTCCATGGACCGGGGTTAGGGAGGTGTGAGCGGGGGCAGGTTTCAGGATGGTTCAAGTACATTACATTTATTGTGCACTTTATTATTATTACGTTTTAATAGATAATAACATAATTATACAATTCACCATAATAGAAAATTAGCGGGAACCTTGAGCTTGTTTTCCTGCAACTAGATGGTCACGTTTGGGGGTGATGGGAGACAGTGACAGATCATCAGGCATTAGATTCTCATAAGGAACATGCAACCTAGCTCCCTTGTATGCACAGTTCACAATAGGGTTCGTGCTCCTATAAGAATCGAATGCTCCCTGTGATCTGACAGGAGGCGGAGCTCATGCTTCACCCTCCTGCCACTCACCTCCTGCTTTGTGGCCCAGTTCCTAGCAGACCACATATCAGTACCAGTCTGTGGCCTAGGCATTGGGACACCTGCTCTAGAAGATAATGTGAAGATTTCTGAATTCCTGCTCACAAAATGAAGCATCTTAAGAGAAAAAAGAACAAACCACTCTCGTCATCATTACTGATTTATGTTATATCAAGGATTAAGACCTTCATATGGGCCAGGTGGCTTATACCTGTAATCTCAGCACTCTGGGAGGCTGAGGCAGATGGATTGCTTGAGCTCAGGAGTTCGAGACCAGCCTGGGCAACATGGCGAAACCCCATCTCTACAAAAAATACAAAAAAATTAGCAAGGTGTGGTGGCACACACGTATGGTCTTAGCTACTCAGGAGGCTGAGGCGGGAGGATCGCTTGAGCCCAGGATGTCAAGGCTGCAGTGAGCTGTGATTGTGCCACTGCACTCCAGCCTGGGTGACACAGCAAGATGCTGTCTCAAAAAAAAAAATATAACAAAAAGTCATATGCAAGGTTTACTATTATCATATGGAAGACCAAGGTATTGTTTTTGACAATTACGAATTACAAAAATATAATTCACGTTATTTAGAGAAATTGATTTTAAAATTGCTCATTATTGTCTTCTGGAAAACATTTTAATATAAAAATGATTAATAAGTAGTTTTATGAGAAACATAATGAGACTATCCATTTATTTTTTTCCAGGTGCAACTAGTTGTCTATATTAGTGGCAACCTTCAGATACAGTTTCCCAATTGTGTTCTCATGCTTATACTAAAAAATTGAGTCAGCTTTGTATTGTTTGGATTATAGTATATAAAAATCTCTATTTTAGTCTGCCTGTGTTCAGAATAAAATTCAGGGTATTTATTACTCTGCATTTAAAGTTAAGAAATGCTGATAGATTTGTTTAAATTTCACTTTTCTGATTGGAAGCCTTTTCAAGTACATGCAATTAATTATGGACAATTTAAACTATATTCCTTTATTACATTTTTAATTAAAGAACTACCTGACATTAAACTTTGTTTTTTTATGTGTCATCAATGTTATAAATTTTCCAACGTAAAGTAGAAAAAACAGAAAAATCTCCTTTAAATCCTTTGTACCACTTTGTACATTTTCTGATGTGGTATGTTTTTGTAGAGCCATGGGCAAAGCTCCATTTAAGGAAGCCATGGCTCTTGCACTTCTTACCTGATCTATCCCAAAAGAAATCTGCAAGTCAGCTTGCTTTTGTGCTTTAAGGGTTGCCTTAGTTGTTCAGAAGTCACAAACCCTAGGTGCTGTGCCTCCTTCAACAGCTGATTTTCTGTTTGACTTGCACAAGTCAATTAATCGATGTTGTCCTTATGTGGGAAATAAGTATAATAATTATAGGAAACCTTAGCTAGTTTTTCATGCTAGGACCCAAAGGGTAGATGCAATTGGGTGGTGTATTAGTAACAAGAGTCTTGTCTTGGTTTTGCTACTTCAGAAAATCATGTGTATTGGACACCAGAGGGACTGTTCTTTGATAATTTGACTCACTTAGTTGATAATTTGACTCACTTAGCTGTTTAACTAATTTAATTTATCCTAATTAAACTTGCTTTCAAACAAGAAGCATAGTTGACTTACTTACTATAATAAATATACCTGCTGAATGGGCTAGAATTTGCTGATGACTAGTCAGTGCATTTTCCCAGCAGGGCAGTCTGTTAAGAAACCAAATATAGATGCAAAGGTCAAAACAAAGGAATTGGGTAGTTTAATGACATCATTGAGGTACGGTGGTAACCAAGAAAGGCAAGTTGCTGAAAAGTCTTTCTGTCAAACTAGTCAGAAGCCTTAGAATCAAAGGATTCCAATGATTCATCTCACCTTATTCAAGTCCTGAAAAAATAGGGTTAGGTCAGGCACAAGTTATGACAATTAAGATTTATCAAGGAAGGTTCTGAACTGTACCTAGACTTACTTCTTTTTCCAGAGATTTTATTACGAAATTTTTCAAACATACAGAAAAGTGAAAGGAATCATACAGTGGATATCCGTATATACACCACCCAGATTGTACTCCTGACATTTTATTGCACTCTTATATTTGTTTATCCATCCTTCCATCAATCTCTTATTTTTATACATTTCTAAGTAAGTTGCAGACACTAATATACACTTAACTTTTTACGTTGACATTTTTGAACATTTGAAGTCTCATATACCCATTACTCAGACCCACCAACTGTTCCCATTTCATCAGTCTTGTTTTCTCTCTTTCCCTAACGCTTTTTTTCTTGAGTAGTTTAAAACAGACAACATATCATTTCACTCACAAATACTTATATCTCTAACATATAAGGATTTAAAATACTATCATTTAACATAACCAACAAAATTCTTCAGTTTATCTAATACCTAGTCCTTGTCAGTTTGCCTTGCTTATCTGAAAAAATGTTTTTCTATATTTGTTTTATTTGAATCAGAGTTCAAATAAGGTCCACGTATTACAATTGGCTATGTCTCTGAAATCTCTTTTAATTTTGTAACATTCCCTCCCTCCTTTTTTTATAGTATTGATTTGTTGAAGGAAATGGGTCACTTATCCTGGAGAATTTACATGCTCTATTTGGTTGGTATGTTTAACCAGTTCCTCTTTACTCTTTATTACCTGTAAACTGGTGGTTAGATCCAAATGTGTGATTAAGTTCCAGGCCAGTTATTTTGGCAAGAAAATGTCATGGGTGGTGCTGGTACTTAAAATTGGGCAGCACATGATGCGTGGTCACCCCGTGGCTAGTGATACTAAGACCGATCTGTGGGTTCAAATGTCGGAAGGTTGATAACTCCGGTACAGAAGTTTACTATTATGTAATTTTCACAACATTATGACCATTTCCTAGATACATTCATTAATTTGGACTTACAAAATGGTGACTTTTCTAATTTGATCATTTCTTCTGCGTTTATTGGAAGAACTTTTCCTTATCAGCTACTTGGTGACTCTGAAATGTATTTTTTGACCACAAAAGCAGGATAAATGCTTTATTCTATTTCTTTATTTACCAATTTGCAGAATAATGAATTGTTGCCCTACCAACCTCCAAAGGTTTTACAGTTTATTTTTATTTTGTCTTTATTGTGGTTTAAAAAAACATAAAATTAGCCATCTTAACCATTTTCAACTGTACAGTTCAGTAGTGTTAAATATCTTTACTTTGTTGTACAACAGATCTCCAGAACATTTTCATCATATAAAATGGAAAATCTATACACATTAAACAACTCCTCATTTTCCCTTCCCCCCAGGCCCCAGCACCCACCATTCAACTTCTGTCTTTATGAATTTGACTGTTCTAGGTACCTCATGTAAGTGGGATCATACAGTATTTGTCCTTTTCTGATTGGCTTATTTCACTTAGCACAATGCCCTTAAGATTCATCTATGTTGTAGTATGTGACAGGATTTCCTTTTAAGGCTGAATCCAAAGGTTTTTATTTTTATTTTTTAAATTTTATTTATTTATTTTTAGATGAACTCAAGGATTTTCATGTATTCCCTGTGTTTCAGTCCATTGCAGTCAGTATCCTTTTGGGGCTGAAATCGTCCCATCATTGACAGTGGGAGCTTCCTCAAGATATCCCCTCCCCACCTTCAGTTCTTTTGATACAACTTTGAGAGCTTCCTTGCTTTCTGGTACCCACAAGATGTTTCAGGTTCATCTTGTGCGTTCTGCCCCAGACTTGAATAGGGCATTTCTTTAATGAACTCTGGTTCCTTTTAGTATATAAATACCACAGCCTGGGTAGCAGTATAGGCTTACTTTTTAACGCTTTCCTAATATCTTAATTTTTAAAAAACTGTAAGTAGACCATGGTAAGAGTGTAACAAAACAACTGCTGTCGAGATGAAAATGTGATCTTTTTCTCTTGACTACATGTGGAAGACTGACCATCTATGCAGTGATTCAAAACCATTGTACTTTAGAATCACTCTGTGAGCCTTAAAAATCCCACTGACCAGACCAGGCCTGGTGGCTCACACCTATAATCTCAGCACTTTGGGAGACCGAGGCAGGTGGACTGCTTGAGCCCAGGAGTTTATGACCAGCCTGAGCAACATGATGAAAGCCAGTCTCTTGACCCAGTCTCTAAATAAAGAAATAGATTAAAATTTTAAAATAAATTTTTTAAAAAGCCCACTGGCCAAGCCGCACCCCAGACCATTTTTCCTGGACTCTGTAGAGGTGACCCCAGGCACCCAGATTGTGCAGAACTCACCAGGTGGTTCTGTGTGCAGCAAAAGTTGAGAATACTCACTTAGCAATGAAATAACCAAAGTTTTTAAAAGTTAAAAAAAAAATGATACTTGTACTCAAAGCTCACGTAGTCAAGAATATGTTGAGTTCCAGACTTTTCTGGATAAACCATCTTCTACTAACATAATTGAGGCCCTTAAAAAAGTAGGAATCTTATAATATTACAAATCTATAGTGAGTGTCCTGTTTCTGTTTTATAGACCTGGACAAGCACCAGACTCAGGCGTACCGAGGGCACTGGTGGGTCAGCATGTTGCCACCTTGAAAGAACATGATAATTCTCTCAAAGAAGAGGTAGGTAGCTAAACTGTCTGAAGTTTTCCCAGTCACAAATGTGGATCACAGAGCAAGGTTAGTAATTTTTATTTAAAAAAGAAAGAAAAAGAAAAGTTTTGGCCAGGTGTGGTGGCTCACGCCTGTAATCCCAGCACTTTGGGATGCCGAGGCAAGCAGATCACGAGCTTAAGAGATCAAGACCATTCTGGCCAACATGGTGAAACCCCGTCTCTACTGAAAGTACAAAAATTAGCTGGATATGGTGGCATGTGCCTGTAGTCCCAGCTACTTGGGAGGCTGAGGCAGGAGAATTGCTTGAACCCAGGAGGCGGAGGTTGCAGAGAGCCAAGATCACGCCACTGCACTCCAGCCTGGGTGACAGAGTGAGACACTATCTCAAAAAAAAAAAAAAAGTTTCCAGATGTGCCAGTTATTCATTTGAGGAAATGTTATGTATTTGAAAAAAACAACGATAAGAAAAGTAGTAAGTGAGGTTTTGTGGTTGGTTGGTTTTTAACTTTCTGACCTCAGGCCTTTTGCAGAATGTTTTATGTAGGAATTCATTTTCCAAGAAATTTCAAAGCGTCTTATAACACTCTGGTTTTTCATCTCCACTCCATACTTTAGAAATACTGTATAGTCATTCATGTCAATTCAGCAAATACCTATCGATCCATTACTGTACACAGATATCAGCCCAGATCCGTTGGAAGGAAAGAGACAAATAAAATGTGCCCCCCGCCTTCCTTCTGGGGTGTGACATCATGGGATGCATGTAATAAGAAAATGGCAAAAATACAGGCTTTCAGGAAAGAGAGCCAAGCCAAGACTCCTGGAGAAGCAAGGAAGGCAGAGGTCATGATGGAGGGAGTACAGGGGTGTGAGAGGTGATCCTTAAAAGATAGGCTTTTGACGGTATGAGTTGGCAGAGGGAGCAGAGGAGACAAGAAATGGCAGCTGTGAGCCAGAGAGCACACTGGGAAACCCAACACATACTCAGGCAACAGAGCCATCCTGAGGCTGAAGCGAGGACTCAAGTCTGGGGATGGTGAGAAGGAGCACAAGAAGCAGTTGCTGGCCATGGTGTGCAGCATCCAACACCAGGCCAGGGAGACTGTGTTTAGTTTTGTAGCTTTTGAAAAGCCACTGGAGCTTTTTGAACAGAGCTGTGATAGGAGTTCTGCAGTGCCTTAGGGAATTTCATGTTTGGTTTGGGACTGAGACATTGAAAGGAGGGAACCCTGCAGTGTTTCAGGCAAGAGGAAGGAGAGGCCTTGGGAGCTGGTGCCAAGAGAGAATTTGAAGATGCTGAACAGAACATGGAAATGGATGGAGCAAGTTCCCAAGGAAATTATGAGGGGAGGAACCAGAAGCCCAAGTTTAGAGCATGTCCATTGGCATATTCCTTCCTCATTCCCTAGAAAAGTCACATTCAGGGAAACAGACTTCTAGGTTGAACATCTTGGGAATGTGTCTTATTTCGAATCATGTTTTTTCATCTTTATATATAATATAGGATAATCTGGCTTTGATTCTTTTTAAGGTGTTTTTAAAATTATTGTCATGCTCATAGTTCAAGGATTATATACCTGCACCTTCTGGAGTCAAGCTTTGCTGCCTCTGTCTTGAAGTCACATGCCCACGTGGCTGTGCCATCTAGAGCCTCTGGCATTCCCCCTCCAGCCTTCCAGAGCACCTTCAGTCCTCCTCAGACCCCTCTTTTCTTGCTGCTGCAATTAAGAGAGTAGTAGGACTTTTTTTTTTTATAGCATTTCAAACATGCATATATTCAGTGATAGGACAGACCCACTAATCCCATGCCCACAACCCAAATTCACATGTGTTGTTACCGTTGCACCATATTTGTTTCCGACCCCCTCCTCCTCCTCTTCCTCCTTTCCCCCATCTTCGTACCCCCCTTCTCCCTTCTTTCCTCCCCTCACTTCACCCACCTTCCTTCTCTTCTGCTCTTTCTCTCTTCTCCCTCTTCTCAAACTTCCTTCCCTCCCCCTTCCCCCTATTCCTTAGGGGGAAGAAATAAATTATTACAAAGATAGGTACAGCCCCCTGTACGCTTCTCACAGATTTCATGCCCCTTTTCAAAGATAACCTAGATCCGTTCGTTCTTTGCTGATGAACGTAGATCTTTTTCGTTTGCTTCCTTTTTTGTTTGTTCGTTTTTTCAAGACAGAGTCTCGCTCTGTTGCCCAGGCTGGAGTGCAGTGGCGCGATCTCGGCTCACTGCAACTGAGGCTCACGCCTCCCGGGTTCAAGTGATTCTCCTTCCTCAGCCTCCCAAGTAGCTGGGACTACAGGCATGTGCCACCATGCCCGGCTGATTTTTTTGTGTTTTTAGTAGAGACAGGGTTTCACCATGTTGGCCAGGCTGTCTCGAACTCCTGACCTTGGGCGATCCACGCCCCTCCCTCAGTCTCCCAAAGTGCTGAGATTACAGGTGTGAGCCACCATGCCCAGCTGATGAACATAGATCTTAAGAAAGATACTGTTTGGGTTTTATTGTCCCTTTGAGTTAGCACTGTCTTGTAACAACATTATTTTCCATGCTTGTTCACTGCAAGTACATCACATCTTAGGCATTTTAAGGGTAAAATAAGTGTTGGTCAGTTGTCCTTTGCTATCCAATCTTTTTTTTTTTTTTAATGATATTGTTTATATTAGAAAACATAGTCCAAGTCCTAAACAACCAATCTACTCAATTTTTCCAATAATGGGAGGGGTTGCTGTCCAATTAATACCTAATGAATCAAATTATATTGTGCTTCCCCAATAGATCTTTGTTCCTTTTTAAATCATTCTGATCTCATTTTAGGGACAATCGTAAAAATTACCAATAGATTAATGACAAAATCTATCCTTAAAAATGGAAGTAGGCTGGACGCGGTGGCTCACACCTGTAATCCCAGCACTTTGGGAGGCTGAGGTGGGTGGATCACAAGGTCAGGAGATCGAGACCATCTTAGCTAACACGGTGAAACCTTGTCTCTACTAAAAATGCAAAACATTAGCTGGGTGTGGTGGCAGACACCTGTAGTCCCAGCTACTGAGGAGGCCGAGACAGGAGAATGGTGTGAACCTGGGAGGCGGAGCTTGCAGTGAGCAGAGATTGCCCCTCTGCACTCCAGCCTGGGTGACAGAGCAAGACTCTGTCTCAAAAAAAAAAAAAAAAAGGAAGTAAACAGGTAATTTCCCATCCAGTTAAGTTGTGAGTGAAGAACAATATTATTTGGGACTGAAGAACAGTCCCAAAGAACAATATTACCAAAATGATGCAGGCGGGGCACGCTTTGTGAACTGAAGGACAAAATGCTTTTGTGAGTCCTAAAACTGTTTTGGTTTACATGTCATGCTTTTCTGATTAGTAAACTAAAGTGTCTTTCTTTGAATTGTTTCTGTGTATTGAAACCATCTACATATTTAGTAAATACTACGGGTTAAATCTCTCTCTTTAGATAAAATCTTAAAAGTAAGTGATTTTCAAAATTTAAAAAAGCTCTACTAGAAACTACTTGGTTAAGAGTCTAATGAAACTCAGAAATATTTACTTTGATCTCTTGGGTAAATGGCTAATTAAAAAGCCGCATGTAAATGATGTTTACCTGTGGTTCCCTGTGCTGTCAGCCCGAGTCAATCCCTTCTCTTGAGTAAATACATCATCAAAGCCGCAGAAACGCAGATTATGTTCCCTGGAGACCAGATAAGGTCTGCAGTGCCCACATAACCTATTAGGCAATTACATAATTGAACTGCCTGCTTTTAAATCAGAAAAATTTGTAATTACTTTTTGTGGAGAAAAAGATGAGTTGGGTACTTCATTAAAATACAAGGTGCCTTAATATTAGTTTTCTCCCAAGTGATGTCTATTTCCTCCCTGGAGAACTTTGTCATAGCAGAGCAATCTGCTGGTGACACTCATAGAGTAGATTGGGTCCTGCCCCCCACCATACACACAAACCAGTTTTATTCACCAGGAAGATGCTTTCCCCAAATGCTGGACTGTTTTCTTGTTCTTATCTCCTGAAGACTCATTTGCTGGGTCATATGAATATCTTCCCATTTAAAAAAAAATTGCTATACAGGTAAAATCCCTTCATTCCCTTTAATGTAGAACTTAAGTGTTGATGCTTGCATTTCTCTTTAAACACCGAGAAGTTACTTCCATTGTCCAAGAGGAATATTGTTGAACCTTGAGGAAGAGTCAGTTAAATCTGCATACTAGGGGAAAATATCATCTGCTGTCCGTATCCATGATTTTTAATTCTTTTGCTTTTCTGTATCTGTGTTAGTAGCACTGGTTTGCATATAGAAGGGAATTTAATTTTATCAGATGCATTTACATTCATTTTCTCTTTGTATTGGTACCACCGATAGCAGAAATTGGATTTCTTTAGAGCTAGCATATGTTTTCTTTTAAAAACAAACATTAAAAAAAAATCTTGAAATAGTAAGATAAACAAAAAGAAAACTGGCCTTTATCCTACTATTCTACTATTTATATATAACCTGTTAACATTATGGTGTATGTTTTTTAATATTTAATATATTGATATGGGAGGCTGAGGTTGGTGGATCACCTGAGGTCAGGAGTTCAAGACCAGCCTGACCAACATGGTAAAAGCCCATCTTTACTAAAAATAGAAAAATTAGCCAGGTGTAATAGCACACACCTGTAATGCCAGCTACTTGGGAGGCTTAGGCACAAGCATTGCTTGAACCTGGGAGGCAGAGGTTGCAGTGAGCTGAGATCGCACCACTGCACTCCAGCCTGGGTGACAGAGCGAGACTCTGTTTTAAAAAATAATAATAATAATTAATACATTGAAAAACGTAGGTTGCATTATTTGTATACATAACCTTGTGTTTTTTTTACCCCCATTTGCTGCAAAGTGAACTCTTTCATACCATTACATGTTCTATTTATATCCTTTCAAATGGCTTTACAGAGGTCCCCTGTCCACTGTCACTTCAGTCATTTACCTGTTGTTCAACATTTGTTTCTAATTTTTCCTCTAGTAAAAAAGTTTCAGAGAATATCTGTGCAATTCAGATTTTACAAATATCTATAATATTTTCTTAGAATGAATTCCTAGATGTAGAATTACTAGGTCAAAAGGTGGGTATATCTTTCAGGCTTTTGCTATGCATGGCCAGATCTCACTCTGGAAGGGTCATCAGAGTTACCAGTAATGGATGAAAATAACATTTCTCTGAGTTCTTTATGAAACTAGATACTATCAACTTTTTTTTTTAGGGGCACCAATTTGAGAGATGAAAATGACATCCAATTTTTTTTTGTTCGTTTGACCTTCTTATTACAATTGAGGTCGAACTTTTTCTCTACCTATTTATTAGCTATTTGTATTTCTTTTATCATAATCTGCCAGCTCATGTTCTTTGCTCATTTTTCTATTAGGGTAGTAATATTTTTTCTTACTGACTTGCAAAAACTTTTTAAATATAAATTTGGAGATTTTGTTACTATCTTTTTAGCAATTTAATTTTTGTCTTTTAATTTTCTTAATGGTGTTTTGGACACAATGTCTTTTCTATTAATATCTTACATCTGTCTGTTTATACATTTGAATATCACAACCGTTAAGTTTTTTGATATAATTTAAGAGTCAGCCTAGATGATTCTTGGGGTTCTAGACATAGCAAGATTAATATTTAAACTGAACATGGAGGAAACTTCTAGTAGAACTGGGCTAATAAAGGAATAGTACTGTAGGTATAATTCATAGAATGGTTTATCTGCCATAATGTCTGAAATATGGAAGTATCAATATCAGTCATTCCACAAATAGTGTGTGCCCTGGCATTTAATTTCCAAGCCCTTTCTCCTGGCTCCTGGGAAGGCTGAAAAGTGAAGAGATGGTTTGTTGGTACTGACTTAGGCTTCAGACTGCTGAGAACAATGAAACGATCTCTAGTTTTCTCTTCTGGGCTCCAAAAAGAGAGCCTTTATTAGTAACAGGTAAGTTGAAACCCATGCATAGTTCATTCATAAGGACTATCAGAAAGCCTGTGGTAAAATTGTTGTCTAGTGACATTTTTTCAGAGAATTAGCTCCAATTTGCAGAACCTATTTAGTCCCAGCATGAGATGTCATAAAGCAACCTGTTAACTGTTCTCTGAGCTTCTCTATGTGTTAGTGTCATCAGTCTCAGACTGCAAACTCCTTCAAATTGGAGGTTTCCTTAGAAATACACTTTTCTGGAACATCTGCAAGCAGTACATCTTGAAAATGTATTACAGATGTTTTCCTGACTGCAGAAGTTTGTGTTTGCCAGGCGCAGTGGTTTACGCCTATAATCCCAGCACTTTGGGAGGCCAAGGAATACAGATCACCTGAGGACAGGAGTTCGAGACCAGCCTGGCCAACATGGTGAAACCCCACCTCTACTAAAAATACAGAAATTAGCCTGATGTGGTGACACACGCCTGTAATCCCAGCTACTTGGGAGGCTGAGGCACAAGAATCACTTGAACCTGGGAGGTGGAGGTTGCAGTGAGCCAAGATCCCACCACTGCACTCCAGCCTGGGCAAGAGAGCGAGACTGTCTCAAAACAAAGTTGTTTTTGACTAGAAATCTATGATCTATCCTTGTCTCTCCTTGTCTGAGACTAACTTTTGTCTTCATCCCTGCTTATCATCTTTGAGAAATTATCTGTGGAATTATCTTAAAAGATAGGTTGTTTTGTAAACATTTCTATCAAAAAAGTAACGGAAATCCTGGAGATAAGTATTGAGTAGTGAAGATAAATGCGATAAAATACAGATAGTCCCTGACTTCCAATGGTTCAACTTACATTTTTTTGATTTTATAGTAGTGTGAAAGTGATAGGCATTCAGTGGAAACCATACTGCAAGTACCCATAGAGCACTTCTGTCTTTCTTTTTTAGTACAGTATCCAACAAATTACATGTGAAAATCAACATTTTATTATAAAATAGGCTTTGTGTTAAATGATTTTAGCCATCTGTAGGCTAATGTAAGTGTTCTGAGCAGTTTAAGGCAGGCAAAGCTAAACTGTGATGTTCAGTAGGTTAAGTGTGTTAAATACATTTCTGACTTACAATTTTTTCGACTTGTGGGTTTATTGGATGTAACTCCTTCATAAACTTAAGGAGTGTCTGTGTACAAAGTAAATTAAACTAGCAGTGCAGTGTGCCCACCACATTATTTACCTCACCGTGGAAAAGAGGGCTCAGCGCAGAACTGTTGGCAATGGCGGTATTCTTGTCAAGCATACAAGGACTCATTAGAAAGATGTTTGTAGTAGATTCCAGAAACAGGTGCAGCGCAGTGGTCTGTGTAGGCAGTTGGGATGGGGGCGGTGATGGGAACCAACCTTGGCCTGGCCTTCAAGGGCAGGACCCTATGCCTTCCCCCTACTCTGCAGAAATGGGAATACTGAGCAAGTCATCCGAACAGAGTTATCACAGTGGAGTGAAATCCAGGGACTAGTTTCTAGAAATAGAGGAAAAGCCCCTGGTCACTAGAACTGCACCACAGAAAGGGCCTGGCTGCAAGGCTAACTTGACACCAAGTTCTTTGGCCAGGGGGACTAGAACTCCTTAAATCCCCCTAATCAGCTACTCCAGCTCCTAGGGTAGACCATGGGTCCAGGAGGTTAGCCAGTACTAGGGAGGGCAGAAGGCAAGAACCCTGCAGGGATGTCAGGACTAAAGGCGGTTGCTTTAAAGTGTCTGAAATGCCGAATATGCAAGGCCAGACCTTCCATGCTCTGCTTTAGTGAGTTTCCCTGTCAGAGTGTCTTTGCCTTCTTTCATGTTAATCACAAGGAAGGTTATTTTTTCCACCTTGTTCACTGGATAGCTACGCTGTTACCACTTCACTCTTGGCTAATGATGACCTATGAACATTTGTCCATTTCTGCTCTTCATATTAATTTTAAAGACTCATGGGCATTTCCCACAATTGGGTTGGACACTACCCAGTATTTACTGTCATCGTCAGCTACCTGTGGGTCACCATCACCACCGAGGTTTCCTCTCCAGCTACCTAAGGAAATTGCCACCTATCAATAGGAAATGAGAGAAACATACAGTCTGGCAGTGGGATAATGTGACCAGTGGTTACCTACTAAAAGTTTAACTCTTGTTGCCAGCATATTTGTATTTCTTAGGGGAAAGTACTGACCTGAAAATCAAGAGACATGGCTACTAACCCAGGCCCTGTGAATTGCCCCTTTTTCTCCACCTCTAAGGTTGGCTCTGATAAAAACCTATGTCTTCCTCCTTGCTCAGGACACATGAGGTATTATAAGTAAGACAATGCCTTTGAGAAAAGATAGGCAGTGTGGTAGGTGAGTTTCCCCAGATCCCCAGACAACTTACAGGCAAAGTGTAGACCATCTTAGTACTTGATTGAAGATTGGAATTTAGAATATGGGCAGTTATCTTTCTGCTCAGTGCATTCTCTTCAGCCACAAACTTTTCTGCAATCTTCCTATTTAGGGGAAGTTCATGGGTCATTTGAGGAGGACGGAGATATGGCAGGGTCACATCTTTCCAGATCTTTTTCTCAGTTCAAAGTAATTCTGTCTGACATGCCTAGAAAATAGGATTCATGTAATGAAAGAATAATTTTTTCCTTCAGAAAGGAGGTCTGAGGCTCTCTGCCTTTTGTATATATCAAAGGGAGGATAAACCTGCCCAGATTAACAGAGGTGGTCAGGTTTCATATACATACTTAACAAGCAGAAGAACATTTCTGCATTGCATAAGATTCAGCCCTCAAAAAGTGTATTATTTTGAGGGTAACTTGTAAAGAATTAGATTATAGTAGAAAATAACCTGGTGTTATTTTATCTTGACATTTTAATTTCATTTAAATACAGGAAACAAATCCTAAGTAAAGCTTAACTTAAAATTATATTTGAAGGCTATGTCTTTGAGACCAAGACGAATGTGGCTACAGTTTGTTTTTATTTCTTTGTGCTTTTTTTGAAACACTGTAGGCAACAGCATTATTGAGAAAAGCCCCTACAGAAGAGTGTGGCCATAGGTCAGCTATTCACAGTAGTGAATCATCTTGCAGCTTGCCATCCATTCTGAATGACAATAGTGGAATAAAGGAAGCCAAATTTGCTCTATGGCTCAACAGCGTTCCTACAAGGGAACAAGGTAACTATTGTTGAAGTGTGTGTCCATAGCAAAAAGGCATTCAGGGTCATCATCATCTTTCTCAAGGTATACCTGTAGAATATCACTGACTAGTGAATACCTCTGATTTTAATATGCATAATGTATTATTTGTTTTATACCACCTTCCAATAAATACTTATGTTCTCCTTTAGTCTAACAGGAATGGGAAATCTAACTGTAAGTCTGTCGTTCTAGGGAATTTATTTCTAATAAAATAAATATTCAGAAGTTATGAAATCTTAACAAAACTAATTGCTTGGCAGTAGATGATTTTGATCTCACAAAGATGAAGATGATTCTATAAAGTACTGTGAAGTTGTTGATATCACTTAATAGAATTTACTCATAATTGTAAACATTCCTTTTAATTATAATAGAACCTTACCAGTGTCTAAACAGTTGATTAACAATCAATGAATTTATGCCCCCCAAATTCGATAACCAATTTTGAGCACCCAGAAACTGTGATTATTTTAGCACTACTGCTAAGACATGCCATTTAACTGCTTTAATGGTTTTCCAAGACAGTTATGAATTCCTCAGGAATTGCTCGAGTTGATGTACATATGCAGGATGTGAAACTCACTTATTTTATGTCCCACCCAAATTTGATAGATGTCAGGCCTAATTATTTTGCATGAAAGCAACATAGTGGCACCTTAATTTAATTTAATTTTTAAATTTTTATTTATGAGATACCTTAATTTTAGAATAGATTTCCTTTTAGGAACAGTATTATTTCAGACAAGAAATACATTAACCAAAAAAAAAAAAAAAAAATTGAACATAAAAGTAATGGCAATTGGCCGGGCGCGGTGGCTCAAGCCTGTAATCCCAGCACTTTGGGAGGCCAAGACGGGCGGATCACGAGGTCAGGAGATTGAGACCATCCTGGCTAACACGGTGAAACCCCGTCTCTACTAAAAAATACAAAAGCAAAAACTAGCCGGGCGAGGTGGCGGGCGCCTATAGTCCCAGCTACTCAGGAGGCAGAGGCAGGAGAATGGTGTGGACCCGGGAGGCGGAGCTTGCAGTGAGCTGAGATCAGGCCACTGCACTCCAACCCGGGCGACAGAGCGAGACTCTGTCTCAAAAAAAAAAGTAATGGCAATTAAACACCCAAAGGATCTATTCCTTAACTTTGAAATACATTTTGTTATTATGCATTCAATTTTTAGAAGTTTCAAATGGCTGTGGAGACAAGAGCAAGAAAGAAAACATGGCTGCAGATATCCCAATCACAGGTAAAGCTATGGTTGCCTAAGAGTTTCAGACACAAGATTTAACATTATTATATAATCAGAACATTTTGGGTCAGTGGTTTGTGGACCCCACTAAGAGCACATGTATTCAGCTACTGCATGCTGGAGCAGGAGATTAATCCTAAGAGCAGAACGTATATACTTTTGTTAACATAAACTAAGGTGGAAAATCACCGTGTCTATTGAATTCTTCATCACCATGTTATGTATTTACACCTGTAACATCCTCCATCATGTACCCTTTCAGCACCTGCGTCTGTGTGAAAAGGTCCATCTCCCTGGGGAACACCCAGTCATTACATAGCAAACTATAGATGTTTCTGATTTTACTCTTTCTTTCCTGTGGTAATTGAATATGTATATTAAAATAAGCAGATAATTTAAAAAAATGCCACATAGGAAGCTTGTGTTTGCCTCAGTCACAAAGCCTATCTGATAATTTAAAAATTGCACCAATCAGGCTTCATCATGACCTATTAAGGTTTCGGCACATGTATTAGGCTTGTTTAGGTGGAATCTGAACGATATGATTATTTTTTTTCTTTTTAGAATAGCAACAGCAGCAATTAGTATTCTGTACAGAGTTCTATTTGTCATACATCTGAATTTACTAGTACCTTATTTTATAAAGTGGTGTACTACTTCATTATAAATTCAAAGGTCTGACTTTAAATATTTATACAAGTAAATACACCATTGCACCAAGGTACTGAGGCATGCATGTGCATATGTGGTAGTTTTGTTGTTGTTTATAAGCAGAAAAGAATGGCCTGCTTTTATGGCAGTGCAATTCCTGGCATGATTAATTTTTTAAACTCATGTTTTTGTGATGAACTCTGGTTTTGAAAAAGGAGTTTATAGTAGTGCAATTATTGTATATATTGTGCATTCTGATAATATTTTACTCTAAAATGCAGAGTTTTTTTATTTTAAACATTTTCCCCAATGATATATTTATTGTGTTTTTAGTCTGCATTTTCTGAAAACTCTGGTATGGCTCCCTGTTATAGAATTTGGCTGCCTCAAATAAACTCATACAACTTGTCTTTGAGTCTTGAAACCTGGTTTCAACTAAATTGTTTTTATTTTTAGAATGTCTAAAACGTGACAGTTCAAAAAATAATAATTTGCATTCATTTGAGAAGTGTTCATCTCATAGGAAGATTTTTAAAAGCTGCTTTCTGGGCAGTAAAAAATGTGGTATTTCTGTGTTTTTCTTTAATCAATAGAAACAGAAGCCTACCAGTTGCTGAAGAAGGCTATCCTTCAGGGTAATACAAATCAAACTGAAAACAGGTTTCAAAAGGCAGATGCTTCTGTGTCACACTTGTCAGGTAAGTAAGAGCAGATGGCAGTGTCCAGGGGCCCAAAGTGGTGGGCAGGGCTGTGTTCAGGGAAGGGTGGTTATTCTTTTTGTAGGTTTCTGGAGTTTGCTCTGTAACGAGCTGTCACCAGGACAGAATGAGCTAGTACTTTTTTTATCCTTGGCAAATGGACATGTGGAAAAGCCCTTTTGTTGTGTCCTAGACATGTGCTGGCCAGCATGGCAGTGGCCCTCCCAGGCCCTGGATTCTGCCAAGCATGTCATGATAGTGACTTGTCATCAGTGACCCTGGGAAGACACACCCAAATTCCTTCTCTTCCCCACGACTACTAGTGTCTTTGTCATTCAATGGGCAGTGTTGTACTGGGCTGCTTTCCCTCACCAGAATGTTGGGGGATTTTTAGTTATTTTACTGAAAGGATTATAAATCCCAGGAATGCTAAATTGTATTTATTTGTTTGTTTGTTTATTTATTTATTTATTATTTTTGAGGCAGGGTCTTGCTCTGTCTCCCAGACTGGAGTACAGTGGCATGATGGCTTACTGAAGCCTCAACCTACCAGTCTCAAGCAATCTTCCCACCTCAGCCTCCCAAGTAGCTGAGACTACAGGTGCACACCACCACCCTCAGCTAATTTTTGTGTTTTTTTGTAGAGGGTTTTGCCATGTTGCTCAGGCTGGTCTCAAACTCCTGGACTCAAGCTATCCACCTGCCTTGGTCTCTTGAAGAGTTGGGGTTACAAGTGTGAGCCACCCTGCGCAGTCAGGAAAGCTAAATTTTAAGCTTAGTTATAGTTCCTTCAATCTAGGATTTTGTTTTAATTGTAATTTTGTTTTTTTGTACTTTGTTATTGTACATCTATTATTTTCAGTGGTTTTCCTTTCATTACACCAGATTTTAAAGCATAAGTTACCTCAATTTCCTTTGTGAGAGTAAATGGATTAATACAGAAGGAAATCCACATTGACTTTCTTAGCCACCATGCCATAATTTCACCTAGCAGAATGAACAGTGATTTCTAAATAGCATGTAATTCCCAGTCCATATTCAGATTTCCTGGTTGTCTCAAGGATGTCTTCTTCAGCCAGGCACAGTGGCTCATGCCTGTAATCCCAGCATTTTGGGAGGCCATGGTGAGAGAGGTGCTTGAGGCCAGGAGTCCCAAGACCAGCCTGGGCAATATAGCAAGACACTGTTTTTACAAAAAATTTAAAAATTAACCACACGTTTTAGCATGTTCCTATACTACTAGCTACTTAAGAGGCTAATAAGGCAAGAGGATCACTTGAGCCCAGAAGTTTGAGGCTGCAGCAAGCTATGATCACACCACTGCACTGGGCAACAGAGCAAGACCCTATCTAAAAAATAAAACAAAAAATGTCTTTTTCAGACAGATATTTTCGAGGGACATACTTACGGTCCATCAGACTTAGCTGTATTTGGAGAGCTATTTCCTAGATAATATTAGTGGTTAAAGTCAGTTGCGACAAAATTCAGTTATTTTGGTGGTTTTGAGGATTTGGTGAGCCACTGCATGTTAAGTGCCCAGCACAGTGCCTGACAGTGAAAAGCCCCCTAGGAGAGCCAGCCATTGTGGTGGTAGGGGTGATTTGAACATAAGACATTGTAGTTTATTGAGTTATAAAACAGGGCCTCTGTCCTGATGGAGATTGTCATCACTTGCAAACTCTTAACTGTTTGCTTTCCATGACCTTCTTCACATTTGAGTCATGGAATTTGAATCCAGAGGGATATTAGAATGTATTCAACACTCCTATTTTACAAATGAGTCCCCAGGAGAGTAACACCTTGCTCAGAGCCTTTCAGCTGGATAAATGACACACATACTTTGGAAAGTGACTCCACATACCTGTTTCTGGTAAGTGTTATTTTCAGTAGTTAATTGGACAAGTGCAAAAGATAAGTAAATTTGGCTGGGCACTGTGGCTCACACCTGTAATCCCAGCACTTTGGGAGGCCAAGGCAGGCGGATCACCTGAGGTGAGGAGTTTTAAGACCAGCCTGGCCAATATGATGAAACCCTGTCTCTACTAAAAATACAAAAATTAGCTAGACATGGTGACAGGTGCTTCAGCTACTCAGGAGGCTGAGGTAGGAGAATGGCCTGAACCCAGGAGGCAGAGGTTGCAGTGAGCTAAGGTCACACTACTGCACTCCAGCCTGGGTGACAGAGCCAGACCCTGTCTCAAAAAACAAACAAAAAAAAGGTGAGTAAATTAGACATATAAGTTGTAATCCGTTGGATGTGTATCTGAAATTATGGATTATGGTACTATTAATAACCTAGTACTTAATGCATTTTTATTAATTTATTCATAAATGAAATGACACTCTAGATTATATAGTCAGGCACCCCTAAATTCATTTCCCTTGCCCCATACTCAAAGTGCTCCTGCCTGTGTTTGCTGTCACTGACATTGTACTCAGATCCTTTGGCTGTGTGTTATCTTTTACCCTTACTCTCATTCTGATCCTAAGGACTTATCTGAGTCCCAGAGAAAAACAGAAAGTGGACTGGAGGGTGTAGGGCAGCTTCACAGTGTTGTTAGAAGTAGCAGGGATGGGAGGTGGTGGTGCACTCTGCGCTCAAGGAGCCCACCCCAAATCTAATGAAGAAGCAGTGCATGTTTCACTTACTTCTGAGTCTTTGGACCTGTCCTGAGGAAAGCTTCTTAAATAAACCTTGAGCCTTAGTTTTCATGTCTGAAAAGACCTCCTCCTGGTAAGCATGTGGACACCCTCTTTGGGCTGAATGTGGACACATTTTTAAAATAATCACTTTGCTGCAGAGTGTACATGCAAGCAGGCAGGTTCCAGGTTAGAAACTCAGCAAATGCTTTTTGCAGAGATGCCCATGCATGCTGTGTCTCTGATTGTGACTGCCAATTAAGAAGCAGACCTGTAGCAGAAACATCCAAGGCTGAGAACTCCCAGAAGGCAAAGGTCAGGGGTTGCCCTGCAAACTGGGGGCATTGTGGGAATATCCAAGTCTCTGGCTCCAGAGAAAGAGGTGGAGTGTGCATCCTCCTCCTCAACCTTTAGAGGCTGGTAAAGAGTGGCCTTGATGATTTTCAGTGGAGATTCTTTCTCCTCTATGGGATGGAAAATAGAGGATTTTACAGAGGGGCTTAAGAGTGGATAAGGTGGGTAACTGTTATCCACGGGTCTCAATAATTTCTGAGCCCTGGTTTGCTGCCCGTGTGTTATAACAATGGGAATTATCCAGTGCTTTGTGACACAGTAGAGATCCATATGCCTACATGTGCATCTTTGTGCCTATTTTGTGCCAAAATATTAGACATTAAAAAAAAAACTTTGGAAATTTTTTAAAAACTTAGCAAAGCCATATACTTTGTTAAGGTGTTACTGTTCTGTCCTTGCCAGTGTACTCTCCCCACCGAGGGACCTCCCATGAAATTCATGTTTGAGGGCCTCACGCACCTTGGCACTACTAATACTGTTGCTTTGTCCATCATTGCCGCTACTTTGATCTCTTAAGTTCTTGACCATCCTCCCTTTATTAAATGTTTGTGGCTTTGGCATAACTGTTCGGAGATTTTGCATTTGGTAGAGTAAAGCAAGTACGTAGTTTAATTTAAGATAGAGTCTGTCTGCCTCTTTTTAATAGTTTTGTTGGAGTGTCCTGTTTGTCTGAGTACATGCTGGTTGTGTTTGTATGGGCTGCATTCCTTCTAGAATATTTCAAAGAAAAGAAATATTCCAGAGGCTGTCCCCTGAAGGGTGAGGAAGTGTAGCAATTGGACTGGGGCTTTGGAACCAGCCTTCAGTGTCAGCTCTTTTACTCCTTGCTCTGTTTCTCTACCCTCTCTGAGTCTCTGTATTGGGAAAGCAGACATACTGCCTAATAGGATTGTCTTAAAGTTTAAATGAAATCATTTGTGAAAGTGCCAAGCAGATACTAGACACTCAGTTTTATCTGTGATATATAATAACATTCATGTGAACATTGTTAGTGTTCTTGGTCTTCTGTGCTGGCCCCCACAAGCCCCAGCATTTCTAAACCAGCTATGAGGAGCCTCACAAAGCAAACTCAAAGAAGAACAGAAGTAGAGAGAATGGGGATGCAGCATCACAGAAAGTGCCATTGTGAGATGAGCGCCCGGAAGAGTGGACACTTTCAGTCTGTTCTTGTGGACCTGCATACCTTCCTTGAGTTGTGGTAGCCACTTGGAACCAAGACCCACACAAGTACAGTGCTGCTGCAACGCCTGCAAGACAGTGCTTCCCAGTAGTACTGCTACGTTAGTTTCTGCAAGAAATTGCCACTTGAGAACACAATTGAGATTCAAATCCAGAAGGATGGTTACCTTATCAAAAAGGAATCTCAAGAAGAGTTTGATGATACTTTTCCAACTTCCACTTAGTCCCATGAGAAAATCCATAGAGAAATATCCGAAATAGCTGCTGAAGTATTCCTGAAGATCTCATTGGTCAAGGCCCAGACATCTCTGCCTGGGGGGACCTGTGTGCCCTTAGTAACCCTTACTTGCTCACAGTGGAAGACGTTGCTGGGCACCTGATCACCAGGCAGCAGACCTCCCCTGATGTGTGTGCTGCCCCACAAGTATTGATGAGCTAATGCAGCATTTTCCAAAATGTGTTATTTGCAGTGCTCCACCCAGAAAATACATCAATTAATACATATTTTGTTGCCAAGCCCTGCATGATCCTTCTCTCTCTCTGCAGTATGCATAATGCATAGAAACATAGTGAAGACTTGGAGAAGACTTTCAGCAAAGGAATTTTTAAAATTGTGATCCTGGAGTTTCAGATAACTTACCATTTATTTGAAAATGGAACTTTTCCTGTTAACAGCCAACAGAATTAATGTTCTGTGGAACATGCTTTGTGAAACATACACACATATATGTGGAACATTTTGAGAGCAGTGAGTCCAATGGGGGCACCAGTTTCCTCAATACACTAAGATTATCTTCAACATTTTTCTGTGGTTTCATTTTGTGGGA